TGTGACCACAAGAGGGCGCAAAACAAGCAAACCAGATTAAAGTCATGGCGTCTTACTCGAATATAATGACACTCCCTTTTGTTAAATGAAATCGGATTTCCTTCAGGTGCATGTGGGGGAGATTAGAAATGAAGTGAAACACATCAATAAACGTTCAAGTGTGTTTCCTGCACAGGATGAGTGTGAACGCTGCTCATAAACACCATCTCTCAGATCATTTCTGACAGCCTCACCAGCATGATCAGTGGAGCTCCGAGTGGCCAGTAAGAGTGACTGATGATGATGATGATGATGTGTGTGTGTGTGTGTGTGTGTGTGTGTGTGTGTGTGTGTGTGTGTGTGTGCAGGACGGGAAGGTGCATCTGTATTCTGTTCAGGGAAACACACTGAAGGATGATGGGAAGGCGCTGGAGGTGCAGGGACCCGTGACGGACATGTCTTACTCTAAAGATGGAGCGTTTCTGGCGGTGACGGATGAGAAGAAGGTGGTCACGGTGTTCACCGTCGCCGATGCGTACAAGGTGAGTCAATCTGCAGATGATTCATTACAGACGATTCCTTCAGCTCTGCACGCTCGCGCATTGACGGTCATTAAAGGCAAATACTGTTTAATTAAGCTTATCTGATGTAGTTAATTGAATATTTATGAAAGGATGTGAAATATTCTACAGATGTCAGCTGGTTTAGGCCTGTCATGATGTGTCAATACCACATTCATTCAGTGAGTTATATATATTATAAGTATATTCCGTCAATCATTCATTCATAACTGCATTTAGAAATGAAGCTAATAACTGTATTTATGAACAATCACAGGCTCAAATGATTGATTCAGCAGCAGATTCGTTCATTAATGAAGACGGACGTTCTGCTCGCACTGTTTTCAGTAAAGAAACAGAAACACCACACTATATATAGGGTCAAGTGTGTTAGAGAAGGGAAGCACACAACTCCCCTGCAGCCAGTCAGCAGGAATGGGCGTGTCCACTTACAATAGCATTGATTATGCAAAAAGGGGTGGAGTCTTGAGTTATGGGCATGTTTGTTTTGATGCCTTCAGATATCAAGAGCTGTGTGTGTGTGTGTGTGTGTGTGTGTGTGTGTGTTTGTTTTTATTACATGGTGGGGACCTCAGCATGATAGCACACTCACAAAGTGGGGACCAAAAACATAGTGGGGACCGATCGCCCGGTCCCCACTATGTTTTGCCTTTAAAAGACTCAGGGGGCGTTGCTGATATGCCTAGTGCAGTTTTTTTCACTGATCCCCACCTTGACCATTTACCTGAATTGAGTGTGTAAGTGTGTGTCGGCGCACTGCTCTATAGCGGTCCTGTAGTCGGATGGCGGTACTGCACCCTGACACACACTTGACGCAGTTCACACACTCTGGCTACTGCACATGCGCAGATCTCATAAATGAATCCGACTTTAATCAACTTAATTAAGATCTATCATCAAATTATTCGAATTTTTGGGTAAGTTAGAATGTTTTTCACCATCATAATGTAATAGAATAGGTTATATGACAAATACTTATGTTGCATATTTTGACAGTTATCAGGTATATTTAATTAAATGTTTTAACGAATTTCCTGGGTGTTTTAATCGATGTTGTTTCAAATTACGTATTAATATAACACTGATAAGACACAAAATACAGTTCGGTATGTAATTTAACTTGTTTACACGAGTAAAAGTTACTCGCGCTAATGTGCTAACGTGCTAACTGCCCGGTGCTACGTGAGTCAGAGGCCGGGGTGGAGTGCATGAGCCGCGGTCAGACAGTCACCAATCACCGGGCGGCTAAATGGATCGACGGAGGATAAAACCATTAAAAGATGCGGAGAAACACATCACCAGCTCCACTGACAAGACCCATTCACTGGAAACCGAATATATAGAAGGTTACTAAGGTATGTTTTCATAGTTCTTGTATCGTACTTTTTAAATGGTTAATTGCTTTAAACATTTAACGTTAATCCTGAAATAACACTATTATATACTATTTTTACGTTAATGTAATAATATAGAGGTTATAATTAAAATGTGGGGCTATCTGGTCCTAGAAATGTACTTAATTTATTGTTCTATGACGTGTAAAAACGTTTTATTTTAGATAAATAATTATAATAAACTCCAACTTAGTGTAAAACATATATAAAAGTACATAATTGTTCACTGTGTGTGTTTTATTTATTTATTTGCTGTCAACTGGTAGCCTTTTACAATAAGGTTAAATTAGTTAATGCTGGTTAATGCATTTACTAACATGAACAATGAATAATACTTTATTACAGTATTTGTTCATGTTTGTTAACTTTAGTTAATGAAAATAAAGTTGTTCATTACTAGTTGAACACGCACAATGCATTAATTATTGCAATGCATTATTACTGGTACAAGCATGAATTTAGATTTGAATGATGCATTAGTAAATGTTAAACTATGATTAATAAATGCTGTACATGCATTGTTCATTACTAGGTCATGTTAGTAAGTACATTAACTAATAAAACCTGATTGTAAAGTGTGACCTGTAAACAATTGAAGTGGAAAAAAAGTTCTTTAAAACTGTCCTAAGAAAGAAGAACAGGTGTTCAATAGTATTAGAACAACATTGTTGAAAGGTTCCGATCCACTTCAAAAGGTTTACTGTATTTATAATTCACACACAGAGAGAGGATGCTAATGTGAGGTTTTTGTAGTTTTTGAACCCTACACATTAAACTTTTAGGTCAGAGTTTGCGTTGTCCACATTTATTAAAGGAAGTTTTGTGGTTGAGTACAAATGATAGAGCTTGTGGAAGCAAAGCATAGATGAGATATTAATAAAAGTACTCTCTTTATGTTTGACTTTATATGGTAAAACAAGAACAGGTGGTTAAGTGTTTTCCCCATTCAAATGTACATGTATATATTATATTCATTCTGTTTGTATTCATGCCATAGTTTAGCTTTTTATTGCTATGAGAGGGCATAATTAAAATGTTGCTTGCTCTTTTCTCTTAGTTTTGCAGCATTGATGCCGATCATGAGGACGATCTGCACCCTAACTGCACTGTCAATAAGATCGTTGTTCAGAGAAAACCTCATTTGTCCCGTTTTGCAATCAGGGATATTTTCTTTGGAGAGGAAATAACGTTTGACTATGGCGCATGTGATTGGCCTTGGAGAAAGGTTTGACATTTTGATCACTTAATACATTAATCCTTAATACATTCAGCAAAGCTAAGAGTTTTTTAATGTTAATATAGATTAATATAAATATTAATCTATAGAGTTATAGAAAATATAGAGTTTGCATCATCCATAAGAGATAATGAAATCAATCTCTTAATATCTTCTTCTTGTCTTAATGGGTAAAAAAGTTTAATTAATTGGGTAATGCTTTACTTTAAAGGGGGGTTCATAAGACTGTCATGAAAGCTTTATAGTCATGAAAGCTTTATAGTTTTATAGTTAAAGCTGTTTTTAAATAGCTTTCATTGAAGGATGCCCATATGACTGCAGAAGAGAACTGCTTCGACAACTCTCTGATGAGGTATGTTTATTAGTATTAGTATTATTATTATTATTATTATTAGTAGTAGTAGTAGTAGTAGATGTTGTTGCTGTAGTAGTGCATTTAATTGTAATTATTTAACTTAGTGTGTGTCCTAATTTATGAACATATGCACTAGTGTAACATTGTGGGGACCAGAGGCATGTTAGAGAGGCTGTGAAACACACTTAGTCCTCAATACACACACAGTACGGTCTGACATAGTGGGGACCAGGAGCCCTGAGTACTACTGTCTAACTAATATATATATATATATTTTTTTTTATTTAGCTTTCATTGAAGGATGGAAGGATGACCATATGACAGAGGAAGAGAACTGCTCTGCTCCAGTAGGAGACCCACAACTCTGATGAGGTGTGTTTAAATTTAATAATAATAACAATTATTATTATTATTAATATTATTAGTTGTAGTAGTGAAAGTAGTTGTTGTTGTAGTAGTGGTGTATTTAATTGTAATTATTTAACTTAATCGAAATATAGAAATGAAACAGAGTGTGTGTCCTAATTGGTGAACATATGCACTGACATTGTGGGGACCAGAGGCATGTTAGAGAAGCTGTGAAACACACTTAGTCCTCAATACACACACAGTAAGGTCTGACATAGTGGGGACCGCGACCCTTGAGTACTGCTGTCTAACTAATATATATTTTTTTTATATTCAGCTTTTATTGAAGGATGACCATATGACAGGGGAAGAGAACTGCTCTGCTCCAGTACGTGACTCACAACTCTGTTATTGCATATCAGATTTAACGAACCGTTTACTACGGATTTCATGTAATTTTGATAACTGTCCATTAATCAGATGTCATCATGCTGCTGTGCCGTCAGCCAATCGTTGTATTGCTGATAATGATTTTGAGGATCGATAGATCTGTCACAACACACAGTCACAACACATTTCAGATCAGTTTAATCTGATTCGCAAACTTTTTTGAAGAACCAAATTAGCCTAAGATGAGTTATCAAGATTAAAAGATCCAGGATCTGTAATATAATCTTAGATTATTTAAGCGAGGTCCGAAGAACAGACCCCTGGACCCTTGAGTACTACTGTCTAAATTATATTTTTCAAAATAAAAATTATAAATTATATATAAAAATATATAAAATAATTTTTTATAAAATATTTATAAAATTATATATAAAATATATATTTTTAATTATATACAGTTGAAGTCAGAATTTTTAGCCCCCTTGTTTATTTCTTGTACTAAATTTCTGTTTAATGGAAAGCAGATTTTTTAAACACATTTCTAATCATAACAGTGTTAATAACTCATCTCTAATAACTGATTTATTTTCTCTTTGCCATGATGACAGTGAAAATTATTTGACTAGATATTTTTCAAGACACTTCTATACAGCTTAAAGTGACATTTAAAGGCTTCACTAAGTTAATTAGGGTAACTAGGCAAGTTATTGGAGGGATAATAATATTGACCTTAAAATGGTTCATAAAAAATTAAAACTGCTTTTATTCTAGCTGAAATAAAACAAATAAGACTTTCTCCAGAAGAAAAAAATATCATCAGACATACTATGAAAAAATTCCCTGCTCTGTTGCACATCATTTGGGAAATATTTGTAAAAAAGTTTTAAAAAGGTGGGCTGACTTCAACTGTATATACTTTCATATATATATATATATACACAGTTGAAGTATTAATTATTAGACCCCTTGGAATTTTTCTCTTCTTTTTTAAATATTTCCTAAACGATGTTTAACAGAGCAAGGAAATTTTCACAGTGTGTCTGATAATATTTTTTCTTCTGGAGAAAGTCTTATTTGTTTTATTTTGACTAGAATAAAAACAGTTTACATTTTTTTAAACACTGTTTAAGGGACAAAATTATTAGCCTCTATAAGCTATATTTTTTCTCTCGATAATCTACAGAACAAACCATCGTTATACAATAACTTGACTAATTACCCTAACCTGCCTAGTTAACCTAATTACCCTAGTGAAGCCTTTAAATTTCACTTTAAGCTGTATAGAAGTGTCTTAAAGAATATCTAGTCTAATATTATTTACTGTCGTCATGGCAAAGAGAAAATAACACATTAATAAAACATTATTAGAAATGATTATTAGAAATAGTTATTAAAACTATTATGTTTAGAAATGTGTTGAAAAAAATCTTCTCTCCGTTAAACAGAAATTGGGGAAATAATAAACAAGCTGTCTAATAATTCTGACTTCAACTGTATATAAAGAGTTTCATTGCAGAACGAGATATATCCATTTAAAAAAATGTTGGTAATTTTGACATTATTTTTCAGGACATCAACAGTCAAGTTCATTCACAATTTCTGTACATTAAACTATAACTTGAGCTCAGTGAAGGCCAGGGACACAATATTTTCAAATCCAGGATATTTTTTATTTAATTTTATGTCTATAATTAAATAAAAAAAAACATGCCAAAATGCTACATATTAATCCAACCCACATTGTCAAACATGGAATAATATATGCAAAGATTGATTAATAATAATAAGATTCTAAGTTAGATTTGGCCAGAATGTACACAACATAACACAACATTACATAGCATAACTTTTTTTTTTTTTTTTTGCAAAACGCTACATCCACCTTAGGCTATATTATACTACATTAATACCATTACCAAAAGCTAGTGAATCAATGTTTTGTTTGATAAGTAAGATTAAGTTAGTTAGATAAATGACCTTTAGCTTGGTACAGAAAGAGTGGGGGGCGGCTCCTTCCACACCGCTGCAGAAAACCAAACCTGTATGATTAGAGCGGGCGGAGCTGAGTCCGTGACACAAACTTGCCTCGCTATGTCATATTTAATGAATTATTTCACTGTAATAATAATAATAGCTTATTTATTTGGTTGTGAAAAAGCTAAACCGTTTTCTCCATAACAACCTGTGCCCTTTAAGTTCCTTTGTAATAAATCAACAACAACAAGAATTAATTTTAAATAATAGGTGCAACCACATAAATAAATCTTCAGATAGGCTACTCAGCTACATTTAAGAAATTATTTAAAAAATAAACTTATAAGGGACACTTGCAGACAGGTATCTTGTGATGGGGAGTAGGAAAAAAGGCGCTCCTAGGCCTTCTCTTGACATCAGCGGAGACTCGTTCCCTGCTGCATTTGTGTATTGTTGACGCAGAAGTATCTTATTCTTGTCCACTTTTGTGGCCTTTTTATTATTTTTTTGTGAAGTTGAAGACTTCATCTTCTATCGCTAAATCAATGAGCAAACTCTGAGCACTTCACCGGCGATGACTCTCTTCCCAGGGCATGCTGAGCTCGCGCCGCATCCTGAACGCTCTCTAACTGTTATATCGCACTTTGTAAAGAAACTGGTCTGACGGATATTGCGTTTTGTGAAAAAAAATACGTTTTGTACTTGGCCTAAAATGTGCATTCTTAAATGTTATTAATGGCAGCAATTCACACATAGATTAAGGTACATCTGAACAGTGATTTCCAATAATAAAATCCAAATGTCAAAAAATGCCGTTTATCGCATTTTGCAACCAAACTCTTCATATGTATGTGTGTTATGATTGTATGACTGCAGAAGAGAACTGCTCTGTTCCCACAACTCAGTTTTTCTGGGACTTGAAAACAGACGCTCAGCAGATTTTAAAGGGTGGAATCTTGATCAAATCGTGGGTTTACACACAAACATGTAATACAGTGCCAGATTTTCTGGATGTTATATACACATTTGTATTTGTAAACATATACCATATTGTTTTAAATGATGTATTTTTGTGTGGGTTTTTACATTCAGAGAAAGTTACAGTGGATCTTGATTTTGGAGAAGGTGAAGTCCAATCTAAAAGGTAAAAATATTATTTATTTTTCTGATCAGAATTTTTCTTTTTTCAGAATGTTTATTTTTATCATGATATGTATGTGCTGTGTTTGAAAACTATTTTTAAGCTACCATCACACGCTTTTACCCATTAAAAAGAACAACACAAAATCAAATAAATATTTTGGTAAGCTTTATGCAAAGAAGTCAACTCTCAGACTTGATTTTTACTTTCAGAGTCCCCTCAAGTATCATCACCATGGTACAGTGTCTGTGAAGATAGTGAAGCAGACCCAGCATTCACAAAAAAGAGAGGTATGATCATTTAAGTTAATTTGTGACTGACTTGTGTTATTGTACAAGTCCAAATGCACAAGCTCATTTACATAACATGTAGGGTAAAACAGGACAGAAGCACATTACTTCTATGATGATTTCAGTACAGTGGCACTTGATGTCTCATTTCATGTTAGTTAAACAATATTGCTAAATACTTTGGAAAAATATACTAATTGCATATCTGGTTACACTTTATTTTAATAATTTACTTTACTACTACTACTATATTCATATTGTACTAATTTTGAGCGTAACCTAACAGTCTGCTGTACTGTACTATTTACTGAGACCAATGAGAGTCAGTTTTATTGAGGTAACCTTAACTGTCAGCTAATACTCTACACTCTAAAATTAATAAAAATAAGTAATAATAATTAAATTAGCAGTTTTTCATAATTTGTTTTTATGAAATCTGTTTGTTTCTGCTTTTGAATTGCATTATGGGATCTTGATCTTTCTTCCAACAACTTTTAATCTTAAAAAGTAAAAAAAAGTGACTTTTTGTTTGGGTTGTTGTTGTATATTATGCTACAGAAACCTTGTAATAAATTGCCGGTACATTTTCTGTTATTCTAAAGACTTATTTATCTCTATATATTATTTCTTATACATTATATTATTTCAAACTACTAAAATGTCAGTAAAAGTCACTTTGTTAAACTGTAGAGTTGAATTTTCAACATCAAAAGTGCACAGAGCAGAGATCAACATCCCATAATGCAATTCACCACCACAAAAAAAAAAAAAAAACACTTGTAAATCACAAAATACAGGAACTGGTAATGAACAGATATCTGTTACAGTGTAGTGTTTTGAGCTAAACTTGAGCTAACAGTCTGCTAATACTCTACTGATAATCAGATGAGCGTTAGTCTTATTGAAATACTCTAATACATAATACTTTACGGTGAGATAATTAACGTAGTTGCAGAGTTACGCATAGTTAGAAGAATGTCTAAACTGGACTATGGAATAAAGTGTAACCCCATAAACCAGATTTGAAGTTAATAGGAAGTATTTTTTAATCCATCTCCATCTTAAGTATTTTTAATAATAGGCAAGACATATTTTTCTAGCAATTTCTATCACAATATTAAACTAACATAACAGCACATGTTGTAAAAATGACTGAACATTTATGCAACTAAAACTTCTTTTTTATATTTTAACCACCCATAGGTCCCATAAAGAGAAGATCCTGGAGCAAACAGGAAGTACATGCTGTGGTGAAAGCTGAACCATTGGCTCTAAAAACCAGAGATTGGTCAGCTTTGGATTTTTATATTAAAAACTGAATCTCGACTCTTTAGATAAAAAATCTGAATAACACTTTTATAGTAAGTATACACTATACATCATTAGTTTAGCACTAACTCTACATTAATAGACTTTAGGAAGCAGTTTATAAATACAGCTTCAAACGCTGTATTCTTGACTTGACTTAATTGTATTTTCGTGCTTTGTTACTGATTCATTTTTCATTACTACATTATGTATTGCATTATTTACAAACTATTTGTATATAAGAGTAGTTGGTGGTTCTTAAGATAATTCAGAATGAGTTATTAAATGATTAATAAACTATTCAAATGAGCATTTATACATGTTATATTCAGGCATATAGTAATTGTAACCATGTGTGTTAGTAAATGCTATAATAACACAACTTCATGCAGTTTTGTGACCTAAGGACTGTTTATAGTTGATAAATCCCTTATAAATGTCAATTTAAGGCTCAGTATCTAATGAACAATAAATCTTTGCAATCTTATTAAAAAAAATTCTGTAAAGTCTAAACATTACAAAATAAAAATACAACATCATTTCAAAACAACACAATTAACAATATGGCAATATTCATTTCAGTGTTTCTGTGATGTTTGCACTGTACAGTAATTTTATATTTTGATAAGATTGCAAAGATTTATTTTTCATTAGATAATTTCATTTGTGTATCTTGAAATTAATGAAAAAAAAAAAAATATATATATATCTTCTTTGGCCTTAGTCCCGTATGATTGCGGGGTCGGCTCTTTTTGGAACAAGGCCTTCAGTTTTAGACTTGTCCATATGATAACGACTTTTTTACACCTTCCGGCCAGCCTGTCATATGGGCCTGTCACACTCATACACTACGGACAATTTAGCCTTCCCAATTCACCTGTAGCATGTCTTTGGACTGTGCCTTTGCACCCGGAGGAAACCCACACGAATGCAGGGAGAACATGCAAACTTCTCACAGAAATGCCAACTGAGCCGAGTTCAGACCAGTGACCCAGCGACCTTCTTGCTGTGAGGCGACAGCACTACCTACCGCGCCAATCACTCCCCCTTTTAATTTATTTCTTTTTTCTGTTTAGAATATAGCTGAGATTTTAATTGTCATTTATAAGGGATTTATAAAGCATCAATAGTCCTCACTTTACATTAGCTCACAAAACTGCATGAAGTTTAGTTCATAAAGCATTTATTATCAGACAGAGTAACCATTACTATATGCCTGATTATTAAGATATATAAATGTTGGGTAACACTATAATAACGGCACACAATGAATCATTTATGAAACATTAGTAAATAGTTGAACGTTTGTTAAGCATTAACGCTACATTAATAGACATTAGTAAGCAGTATATAAATTATATTTATAAATATAAATTACAAATATTATTGACTTATAAGCACAATTATAATGTGCTTAATGATTGTTTTCATACTTGGTAAATAATGCAATACTTAATTTAGTAATGAAAAATACATCATTAACAAACCAGATATTTAAAAGTAGTTGGTGTTTTTTTTTTTTTAGATAATTCAGAATGTGCAAGTAAATGATTAATAAACTATTCAAAATAACATTGATAATTCTTATTATTCAGGCATATAATAAGTTGTTTAGTATGTTAATAAATGCTTTATGAACTCAACTTCATGCAGTTTTGTGATCTAATCTAAAGCGAGGGCTATTCATGCTTTATAAATCCATTATAAATGACAATATAAGGCTCAGTTACATTATATACAGGGAAAAAAATGACTATTAATTTCTACTTATTACAAGATGCTCAAATGAAACTGTATCAAATGAAAATTAAATCATTGCAATCTTGTCTAAATATAAAATTGCTTTACACGTAATGTATTGTTAAATTATTATATTGTTGTTTTATCAAATGATGTTGTATTTCGACACTCCTGTTATTCAGCAATGTTTAAAATTTACAGTAATTGTATTTGTTTAGGTATGATTGCAAATACTTATTGTTTATTTGATACTGAGCCTGGCAACGCAGTGGCACAGTAGGTAGTGCTGTCACCTCACAGCAAGAAGGTCGCTGGTTCGAGCCCTGGCTGGGTCAGTTGGCATTTCTGTGTAAAGTTTGCATGTTCTCCCTGTGTTGGTGTGGGTTTCCTCCAGGTGCTCCTACATGCGGTACAGGTGAATTGGGTAGCCTAAAATGGTCCGTAGTAAATGAGTGTGTATGTGTAAGGATGTGTCCCAGGGATGGGATTCAGCTGGAGGGGCATCTGCTGCATAAAAACGTGCTGGATAAGTTGGTGGTTCAATCCGCTGTTGCGACCCCGGATTAATAAAGAGAGAAAACCAAAATGAAAATAAATGAATAAATGAATGATTCTGAGCCTTTAATTGTCATTTATAAGGGATTTATAAAGCATCAATATTCCTCACTTTAGATTAGATCACAAAACTGCATGAAGTTGAGTTAATAAAGCATTATTTAACATGCAGAAAAACGTATTATATGCAGGGCTCCAAACCGGTTCAAGGAACGGAAACGAAAAACAGAATCGAATGACATTTTTCAGCAACAGAAACGAAAACCGAAAAAAAAATCAACTTTAATCGTTCTGAACAGAAATGTTTACAGTTAAACGGTTAATAATGTTATTTTATCATTCTCTTTATTATATGAATTTGGGAGACAAAAAGCATTAATTTAAAGCAGTGGTTCTCAAACTTTTTTCATCAAGTACCACCTCAGAAAAAAATTGTCTCTCCAAGTACCACCAAAAATAAGCAGTATTGAAATACAGTAGCGTAGTAGGCTCAGTAAAGCGGCTACAACTCTGCTCAGATAAAAAAAACGTGGCAGATTTTCTCAGAAATATAGGCTATATGTCATATATGGCATATTATATACATCATTTTTGATAAATTTTAAAATATATGTAGCATGTACATGACATATTTCATTCCTCCGCAAACCACTAGAAGGAAGCCCGCGTACCACTAGTGGTACACGTACCACAGTTTGAGAACCACTGATTTAAAGCATGTGAACAAATGCGACGGTGACGCTCGTTTTTATATAAACTATAAATGTCTGGCTGTGATGCGTATTTAGGCCTATGCCAGTCTATAAAAAGATAATGTAGCTTAAAACACTTTAAAATTTTAGAGAACGTAATAAAGTTTGCACAACCAATGTTTGGTCTTAATAACCTGCCCATAATTAAACGTCATGTAGCCTACTTTTTGATTACTTGACCAGCGGATTAATGGCAGCACCAGCGGATAAACGAGATCTGAGCATAATAGGTATGACCAATATGTGCATAACCAATATGCAAAGTCAAGAGAGTGCACGACTGTCTAAAAAAGGGTAACGTAGCCTAAACTGCGCACACTTGATTATGTAATGTGTGAAATCGTGGACGCATCTCAAAGAGCAAAGCATAACTTATTAAATGCCCATGCTTAATCGGTCATCGATAAGGTCTATCGGTTTTAAAGGGTTACCGACAATAAATCAATCGAGTGATCGTTAGCATCCCTAGTTTAATCAATGAATGTGTTAAATTTTATATTTATATTAAAGATGAATAAGGCAAGAATATGATAATGATACTTTTTAGATTTTTACACCTACAAAAATATCTTGTGGTAGTGCATTTGTTTAATAAAAATCTTTGTATATAGGTTATCTGTAAAAAACGCAATCAGAGCCAATGACATGTAGAAGTAGTGTTGCCTAAACGGCTATTAAATTTCTAATAAAATTAAAACCAAAGTATAACTCATTGCATTTTTCGTTTGATAAAAATATACAGAAACGAAATAAAATCATAAGGATGCTAGTTTGTAATTTATGTTAATAATAATAAAATGACATGCTTAGACTATAAGCTTAACGGCTATACGCTGCCAATAGGCCATTAATAAATATTATTTTACTTTGTACTGGATTATAATGTATATTTTACAATAAAAACTAAATATAGCATGTTTTACTGTCATTTAAAACAAGTAATTCAAAATACACATCAGAACTGTAGGCCTGCAGTGGGTAAACTGTATACAGGGGGTGTTGGTCAATCAATAGCCTACAGCACATAATTGAACTAATTATGATGCTAACTGTAATTTAGCTCTTAATATAGGCCTACAATATATTTTCTGGTGTTTAATTTTGCATGAGCAAATAGCAGTATAGCCTAAAGTAAATTTTTTAAAAAGATTATCATTTACCCTACCTGCAGCACATGTGAGAGGTGGATCTGCAGCAAATTCACTTACACACTAAGCTATATCTATTTAATTTATAACAATGTAAACTTGACGTCACAGGCCGTTCATCTTTGAACGCAAAAGGCATTTTTAAGTGTCCTAACTTGTCTGCTGCTGCATAATGGGATGTTTCTTTACAAAACTGTAAAAGTGCGCTTTAGCATGTCAAAATGAAAGCAAACGTTCAAAAGAGTTCTGTGTTTTGTCAATTTTACTAATATTAATAATAATGGATATAATAAATTTAAATGATAATTGCACTGTGCAGTGTACTAAATATTTTTATTAGGCTACATAACTGAAAAACTATTTCATAACAATTTTTATAATTTAATTGCTATTTCATATTATACAACATCTAAATGTAGCGCCGGGCCTGCGCTCGATACCAAGGAGTGGGGCTGTGTGTAGCGCCTTTAAACAGCGTGTCAATCAATAACCAAAAGCAAGTTCATATTATAAATATGTCTTATAATAATGATACTTATTGAAAATTCATTTAATCTTACCCCTCGTATAGATTTTTTAGTTGCACCATTAAAAAAACAAAGCACTCTAGAGCCCTGCAATACTTTGTAATTAAATAAAGTTTTTTTTTTTTTTTTTTTTTCTAGAAAACTGTTTTCTGAATATTTTGTCTATTAAGGAACGCAAGAACAGAACCGAAAAAATATAAATTCTGCTTAGAGTGAACCGATTGGATTTTCTTTTCTTTTTTTTTTTTTTAGCCCTCATTATATGCCTGAATAGTAAATGTATAAATGTTAATTTATATAGTTTTTTAATCATTTATTTACTCATTCTTAATGATCCTAAAAAACACCAATTATTCTTAGACAGTTTGTAAATAATGCAATACTTCATTTAGTAATGAAAAATAAATTATAAACAAAGTATGAAAACACAAAAATTTAGCACATAACACATGCATATAAGTCAACAATAGAGCATCTAGCTGTGTTTATAAACTGCTTACTATTAATGTAGAGTTAATGCTTAACAAATGATGTCTATTTGGAGTTTTGGTTGCTTGGTTATATGATAAAGGTCTCTGTGCATTTGTGGGGTTCAGTTCTTTATAAATATATTTTTAATGTTTTTTTTTTCAATAGTTAAAATACGACAGAAACAGAAATAGAACATACTGGTGGGTTTTAAGAGTTTACTCAAAAATGTACATTATATTATTAATTACTTGCCCTCATCTCACTCTAATCCCCTGAGACCTTCATTCATCTTCAGACTCAAAGGAAGATAACTTAGATGAAGTGCAAGAACTCCTCATCCTCCATAGACAGCAAGGGATTGAAACAATATGAAGGAGAGGAATTAATAACAGAATCTTCATTTTGGGGTGAACTAACCGTTTAATATTGTTTGCTATTGCACTTAACTAAATGTGTATACAGACATGGAAGAGTTATGTGGAAGCTTGTTATACCCAATGAGAACTGCTTTTAGACATGCAAGAGAGTTTCATGGATTTTGTGTTTACTGTTTTTTTGTGTTTAAAGGTTTTGTGGAAATTATTTATAATAAATATAACATTTATTAAATCTATTCTGGACCATTTCCTGATTGGATCTTGAGGTTCCTTCTGTATTCAAATTACATTTTTTATAAACTGACCTGCTCTTCAAATGAAAATTCTAAAGCAGTTTACTGTCAAATTACTTGATTGAGGTTTAAAATTTAATATTAGTAAGGGTGCTGATCTGATCCCCACGTTGCCTAAAAACCGGTAATGTGTGTGTAGAACTGGTCCTTACTTTGACTAAAAAACGGTAATGTGTGTGTAGACCTGGTCCTTACTTTGACTCAATACCGGTAATGTGTGTGTAGACCTGGTCCTTACTTTGACTCAATACCGGTAATGTGTGTGTAGACCTGGTCCTTACTTTGACTCAATACCGGTAATGTGTGTGTAGACCTGGTCCTTACTTTGACTCAATACCAGTAATGTGTGTGTAGACCTGGTCCTTACTTTGACTCAATACCAGTAATATGTGTGTAGATCTGGTCCTTACTTTGACTCAATACCGGTAATGTGTGTGTAGATCTGGTCCTTACTTTGACTCAATACCAGTAATGTGTGTGTAGATCTGGTCCTTACTTTGACTCAATACTGGTAATGTGTATCTGGAACTGGTCCTTACTTTGTCTCAAAACCAGTAAAGTGTGTGTAGAATTGGTCCCCACTTTGTCTAAAAATCGGTTGTGTATGTGGCGGACCCCACTTCTACACAAAACCTGAAATGTCCCCACAAGTGACCACTGTGTCAGGTCTAAAAAAAAATTTGCGGAATATCCAAAATCTGAAGTGATTTTATGAAATAGTTTGTGTTTTTGTGTGGCAAACTATTTTTTTTATGTCTCTAACATCATCAGAAAGGGCGGTCCCCATTACGTAACCACCGTGACAGGTGACCCCCACAATGCACAAAAACAAGTATGTGTGTGTGTGTGTG